GCGAGCGAGCCCAATTCTTCGGCGACCCATCGCCGTTGCAAAGGGTTCGGTTTACTAAAGCAGCAGGCCCATGTTTTCTGGTACAGCTTAATTTGTCTCCCAGCCAAAACTTGCGATAGCGGTTCCGCCCCAGCCTGGTCGAGAACGCTTGCGTTGCTGATCCGTGATATGAAAGAATGTGGAATTCCAAGTATGCGTCGCAAACATTGGCAATGGAAGGCATCGAGTCGGCATCTGTCTGCTTTCAACAACCAGAAAGAATACAAATAGTATAATAGTTTGATCAAACCAACGTTGTCGTAGATCTTGTGTTTCCGTCTCCAGCCCAGAGATGCGCGTGACCAAAGTTTGTTAAGTTGCTTGGAAAGCTTGCTTGCGTCTCCCAATCTTCTGCATAGCTTCGCAGACGCTCTCCCGTCACATGTAAGCAAACCTCCCAAATCGATTGCGTCCCGTACAGTCTTAATATCATTACCACTCGGCGTCGTAACCTTTTGATTTGTCGAAATTTGCATTTGTATTGTTTTCCCACAATTCAGCTCCAAACCATGATTGCGCCCCTCCTCAATGATAACGTTCAACATTTTCTGGAGGTTGGATTAGTGCTGGGATACTAGCAAAGTGTCGTCGGCATAAAGAACATCCCTGGTGACCACATATCCCTGCTCCTCGTCCAGGTGTAGTGAGTCGATGGCGTCGTGCAGCATGATAGTCTGGATTGCTATGAATAAGTGTGGAGAAAGCGGACACCCTTGTGCGATTCCGGCGTTCTGCCGTCTCTCCGTAGAGGTGCCAGTGTGGTCTTGGATAACGAAGAAGCGCGCCGAGTAAATAGGAAACACCATCTCCACTATACCGGCAGGGAGCCCAAATCTGTCGAAAGCTTTGCACATTAAGTCTGGCTTCAACCAGTCGAACGTTTTTGCCCAGTCCAGCATCAGTACCAATAGCCCTCCATCCACATATGAATGTGCAGCATCTATCATGCGTCTCACAAGCATCAGGGCGTCTGCTGTTCCACATTCAGGGCGAAATCCGTATTGAGGGTCACGCATGCGTGTTTCTGAACCACCTTGCAATATCCTCTGATGTACCAATGCCGCCAAAATCTTGTATCCAACTGAAAGTAATGAAATGGGTTTGTAGTTTTCTGGTAAAGCTGTATCTCCTTTTTTGAAAAAGCAAAACTACCTTCGCTCGCCTCCATGAGTCCGGAATATATTTCTTACCCCAACACTGCTGACATAAACGTAATAATACATTACTTGCGCTTCTATCACACACAAGCGCCTTCCAGAAATCAGAAGGGATCTCGTCGGGGCCCGCTGCTTTTCCAGATTTGAGTTTCCGTAAGACCTTCAACAACTCATCCATAGTAAACCCGTCTGTGCGTATGGTATAGTATCACCGAGCGGTGGGCGAGTTTATGGTTGTAAATCAGGATATCGGCTCTGCCATTGCACTGATTCGAAATAGTCGGCCGTGATGTTTGCCCGTTCGGCCGTATCGGATAATGTCCCATTTGGTTTCTTAATGGCTGCATGTTTGACCAGCTTCGGCTTGCGAAGGTACCACACCGTGTCCCATCCGCCTCCACCCACATATTCTTCCAGGCATGTTTTGCGGTCTTGCTTGCCAGACTTGCAGATCATATTGTTGAGGAGCTTTTCGCTGGTCTAGCTCCCGGTTCGGCGACAAGTGTTTCGTTCCGCGATCAAATCGATTGTCCGCTGACTTGTCCACGGTTGTCTGGGCTGTTCGGCCTTGCATGGTAAAGTCGATGCCGCTTCATGGAAAGTTTGATGTATATCTGCCGCGGCTTTCTCCAATGTGCAATTTTGGTAGTCTGCGCAAGCTGCGTTCGTGAAGGCTCGCACGAACACCTTCTGAGTCGCATGCTCTTTGAACGACGCCTCGTCGACACGCTTCTTCTTTCTGGATTCTTCCACTTGGAACTGTATCGAGGTGCTCGCAACTGTGAGAAGATGTTGAGTGTTTAATGCAACTTCTCTGCACGTCCAACTATCAACAATAGTGGCGGTGTTGTCTTGATGGCACAATATATGGTCAATCTGTCCAAAACCTCCTTCGCCTATATCTGCCATTGGTGGTACACCCAAACCGCGGTACGATACTTTTCGATGACCAGGCTGATCGAAGAAAGTATTGGCCACCGTGAGGTCGCAAGCAAGACAAGGTTCAATATGAAGATTCCGGTTGAAGTGCGATTCGTTGTTGTCTGTATGCGTAGTCTTGTACACGTGCGGGCCGACGATGTCTTCTTCACCAGCCTTCACTCGGCCAAGTCTGGCGTTGACATCCCCAAGAATATACGTTGTGGAGTTCCAGGTGGTGGGACGAACCACGCCTTGAAGTCTATGGAAACATCGTTGCCTCAATTCGAAGTCGATGCCGCTCTGGGGGGGCGTACACAGACAATAAAGTAAGCATATCGCCACACACTTTCAATCGCAGCGTGCAGATTCGATCATCACACGCCTTGAAAGCGACCACTGCGGAGCGGATGCGGGGCGAAACAATGAAGCCAACACCCGCATACGATCTTGCGTCCATGTCTGCACTGCCAGACAAGAAATTGAGAAACCAGTTTGCGTAAAGTACTCGGCGCCGTTCAAGTGTGCCTCCTGGATACGTAATACGTCGATGCCTTGCTCGTCTATGATCTTTAACAACTCGTCGACCTTGATAATCGAGTCGCCGCGGAAACCTTGGACGTTTCAGTTTCCTATGCGTTGTAAATTGCATGGCCGGCAGGCGCGCCTCGACCTTCCCCAGGAAGACTCGTGGGCTCGAAAATGAAGCTGTGCTGGATCATGTGATGCACCAGTGTGACTGTAGCTATGCCTGTCTGTGATGGTTTCGCTCTTTCTCTGTTGGTCGGGTTGCACTCGGTCTCCACAAAAATTTGGGTCTCCACCTCCAGGCCCAGACAGTGTGCCATCCTGATGTCTTCGAGGATCTGTGGATGTAGTGCCGTGCGGCCCACCTCGAAAGCCAGGGCCCCCACAGCCAGTGCGAGAAGATAACGTGCATGGATATGTACATGTCGTCAGAGATGCTGCTGATTGAATTCGTAATCGATTCGGATTTATAATGGCAGTAGGGCCGACTGCCAATGGTGGTCAATGAAAACAGGCCAGAGTGGGGGAGGGGAGGGGGTCGAATACGGCCCCAGAGGGTTCGGAAGAGCCACGCTACTTCACAACAGAGTATATTATCTAATTGAACGCCCCTGAGGGGGCAGATACCGCCGCCCCACAATTTTTGAAACGCGGAGTTTGAGGGAGGGGTCAACGATGGCCCGAGAGTGTCCAAAAAGACGTGGAAACGGTCCCAAGAAAGGCCCCCCAGAGGGCCCCAAGAGGCTCCGAAAACGGCCCAACAGGGCACCCAAAGGTGTCGAAAACAGCGGACGAAACCGAAGAGGGACAGGGAGAGGCAGAAAGGAGCAGTCTCACTTAGTTCCTGGGGCATCAGAAGCGCCTTTGGGGACCCCCTGGGCACGCAAATGGTTTGCGTCAAATGGTTTGCATTGCTGATATGTTTCGATGTATGTGTTTTCAATCCGTATTCCTGAGTAATGATCCCTAGATCAGGATTTCGTACGAATGGTATTACATAAGGTTTCTACAGTTATGTTTGTTTACGCCAGCATTACATAGTAAGGTTTCTCAGTTTAAGATGTACGGCTTGCTTATTTGTGGTTTATGTAATACAGATGTTCTGCACGTCTGACGAATTCGAATTAAGAATTGTTTAACCAATGTCTCCCGGTAAAGGGCTCTTTGTCACAATTCCGGTGTTCATCATTTCGTTTTGCTATTTTTTCGGCGAGGAATCCTTCGGACGGACATGTTATTACGGAATTTGTCCGTGAAGATTTATGTTTCAACGGATTCTTCAGCACATGCTTTTCTGAAGGGTTTTGTGTTACGGGTTATCCAGCAATGATTCTTCAGTGAGGATTGCATCGAGTGGAATTTCCATCCTTGTTTCTGTAGTTGCGATTCGTCAATAATGGTTCTCTGGTAAAAAGGAATTGTAGAACATATTTTTGTTGGGAATCGATTTCGTACCATTCGTTTCTGAGTAATGATTTCTTTGTGCAAGGGTTCCATCGTAAAGAGGGTGTGCGAGAAGGGTTCTGTTTGAATATTTTCACCATGTGTTTGATCCCGAATCCAGATAGAGGCCCCTTTCAAGCAGGAATCTTGAGGACGGATCCTAGATTGCGGATTGCTTCGGTAAGAATTTGGTATTATGTAATCTTCAATGAGGGCATTTGGCTAGGGAGTTTTTTGGAAAGGCTTCTTCGCGAAGGATTCAACAGAGGGGTTCCAACTCTATCCAGTGAGGATTCCTCATCAGGAATTCCTTAGGAAGAGTTCTGTATGCAGGATTCTTCCATAACGACGCTTAGCAAGGATGATGCAGTAAGGAGTCTTCACCATGTATTCTGTACGGCCATGATTAGTGTACACTAATTTCTGGGCACGTATTCCTAGAATTGGTTTTGCAAGGGTTCCGTAATACGGATTCTTTGTGAAGGGTTTCATGATGAGGGTTTTTAGACAATGTCGGAAGGGTCGTTTATCCCATATTTCTTATGTAAGGTTGTGCATGGAGGTATTTTGCGTAATGGTTCATTGCTAAGGGGCCCTTCTAGAGGATTTTCCATTAAGGAGCACACATGTTCTCTCGCCTTTCTTTCTCTCTACCTCTCTCTCTCATTCTCTTTCTAAAAGCGCTGAACGGCCCAGGCTTTTAAACGGTATGGCGCCCGATGGGGGAGTTGGGCGCGAAAGATGAGGGAGGAAGAGGAGGAGAAGACGGGAGGAGGAAAAAGGAGCGAGGATCGAGGAGGTTCTCTTCTCTCCTCCTCCAGCCTCGCCCGACCCCTTCCGCCGCCGACTCGGCTCCAGTTCCCACTGCCGCAGCGATCGGCGCCGCAGCGAAACCGACGCCTTTTGCCAACTGCCATGGTGGCCAGTCGGTTGTTTGCCGCCATGATGGCGGGCAGTGGGGGGCGCCTTGAGCGAAGAGGGACTGCTGATGATGAAGAGGAGGAGAAGGGGGAGGAAGAGGAGGAGGGGAGGAGGAGGAGGATGAGGAGGAGGAAGAGGAGGAGGGACAGGAGCAGGAGGAGGAGGAGGAGCAGGAGGAGGAGGAGGCGTGGGGGAGGAGGAGAGGGGGTGGAGGACGAGGATTGCCAGCGTGGGGTGATGGTGGTTATGATGATGGTCAACCGTGGTGATGGTACGCGAGCGGTGCCAGTTCGGGAAAACGATTCAACATGTGGATCTGGATGAGATGACGCGGATGAGGAGTTGGAGGGCGGAGGAGGAGGAGGAGAAAAGGATGATAGATGATGATGGTAACAACGCGTGACGGCAATGGCCCAACCCTTGTGGGAAGCATATTTGAAGCCCAAGTGGGCAGACACACAGCATGCTCAGTACCACACCCGTTCGCCCAGAATCTGAGTTGGTTGCAGGTTTCTCAAAACGTAATCCTGCGTGTGAGTTCCCAACCGCTCTCGCAGATTGTGCACAATGGTTGATTTAGCTTCCATGTTTTCCCAGCCGCGGGTTTACTTTTGTGTCTAATGGGTGCCTTCGGCTGTACAGACCAAAGAAGAGGCTCTCACCTGGCTTCAGATCTGGGTCGGGGAGCACCTGCGTGGCCGAATCCCTTCGGGACCAGAAACGCGCTTCGTTCCCCATTCTGAGCTCATGATCGAAGCGCATGCAATGACTGCAACACGTAACGCGATCCCGGTCATGCGCGGAGGAGTGCAAAAGACCGCCTCGCGCGTCGCGGCCCTGGCTTGAGAGCCACCTCCTCTGGGGTGGCCGCGCCAGGGCGCGAAGACCGCGCGCCGCGCCCCGCGGCGCGTGACGCCGGCTGATTGCCCCGAGCGGTCTGGACCTCTTCCCGGAGACCGGTTGCTCGCCCCGAGCCGTGCTTCAGGCCCCGGGCCCCCTCGAGAAATGGCCCCCCCCCCCCCCCAGACTTCCCGCCATCGTGTTCTCTCACAGATCACCAGCCTCGAACTTATCCCTATGCCTAAGATTGACACGCCAAAAGGCGATGACAATCTCAGGGATGCGCCCTCAAAAACAAAGGGAATCCCGAAGAATGGCATCGTGATGAGGCGATGCCCAGCACAGGGATAGGGATATGTTCCAGGCTGATAAACAGAGATCCCAACCACCTCCCTGGAATCCATCTTTGAGGGTGTGGGGGCCCGAACGCGGCCCACAGAGGCCGAAGTGAGCGGAACAGCCGCGATTGAAGCGATCATGCTGCTGGGGGTCTGGGCAATGAGAGGCGGCGTGGGAGGCGCGAGGTCGGGCGGCGTGGCTGCACGGGCCAGGCGTGGGTGGTGGGGCCCTTGGGCGGAGATCACGCAGGCCCGGGATCGGGACGAGTGGTTCAAGAGCCTTCCCGAACGCACGCGCCGAGAGCGCTCCGGAACGCCTCGAGAAGGCCGTGGCGCGGCGGCGCCCTGCAAGTCCTCTTAGAGTCGCCGGCATCCCGACCCGACGTTGTCCAGTGCTTGCCTGCGTTCTAGACGTGGTGGGCGGACGGGATCGGCGTGGGTGGCGGCGGAAAGGGCGATGCGGAGAGAGGGCGGGGCGCCCGAAGGTGGCCTTGGTCGCTTCGGCGGCCGCGGGGGAGCCAGCCGGCGCCGAAGGCGGGCCGCGGTGGGGAGAGCGGCGGAGTTCAGTGGGCAGCTTCCAGAATTCCTTGTTCAGCTTTGGGAGTTTCTCGTGCGTTCCCATAGTTGTTCGAAGGAACATGGAGGGAGGAGGAGGAGGAGGAGGAGGAGGAGGAGGAGGAGGAGGAGGAGGAGGAGACTTGGACTTAGACATCCCTGGATTCGCTGGGCGGCATGGCAGGTGGCCATTGCACAGCAGACTCCACAGCCACTGACAGTTTACAAGCGTACGGCACCGCGATTGGCGCTGGCAGGGGCACTGCGCGGGCCCCCAGCATCCCAGCGGGAAAAAACGATACCGCTTGGTGCTTGGTGGCGTTCACTCGTCCTCCTCCTCCTCCTGCGACGGGCGAGTCCTGCAGCCGCATGCGCAGCGCCGTGCAGCGCGGCGAACTGCCGGTCAGGTGGCCAGCGCCCCGCTGACCGGCGCCCCAGCCTCTTGCCTGGTGCGTCACGTCTTGCACTGGCGGGCTTTGAGGTTCCAGGTTGTCCGACGTTTTCGCTAGTTCTCGGCAGCTTTGCAGTCTCAGGGTGCCTCCGAGCGACTGCGCCTCGCCGAGAGCGTTCTTCCGGGTTGTCTCGAACAGCCGACGAAGGGCCGAGTTATGACCTGAAAGTTGCAGGGTCAACGTCAAGGGGGATCGGTTCGAGGGGGGCGCAACGACCCTTCAAAGTCGACATTTCCCCCCCTGGGCCAGCGAGTCGTACTGTTGTCCCTCAGTGGGGCTCTGCCAGACGTGCCCTCAGCCCACTGTGCCCCCCGGATTTCCACAGAGGCACCCACGGCCTCAAAAGCACCCCCAACAAGGCCCAGGGGGCCCCAGGGTTTCCAAATGATACCAGAGAAAAAAACCAAATCAATTTTTTTTTAGGGCTGTAGGGCTATAGGGCTACAGGGCTATATGGGCTCTTGGGCGCTATATGGCTATATGGCTATATGGGTTATAGGGCTATAGGGCGATAGGGATACAGGGCTATAAGGCTATATGGCTACAGGGCACCCGGCACCCGGCACCCGGCACCCGGGCACCCACCCGGGCACCCGGCACCCGTCACCCGGGCACCCGGGCACCCGGGCATCTGGGCACCCGGGCCCGGCCACCGAATCGGCGGCGAACCTGCTTCGCGGGCGCGGGCACTTACGCTACTCCTACATTTTTTAGAAGTACTTAGTGTTAAATACGCCGTACACACATGTGAACTAGTTATAAGTACCACGTAAGTATACCAAGCGCGCACGTAAGTGTTTCATAACTATACCTAAGTAAAACGTAAGTAACGCCTAAGTATGCCTCTCGTTTGCACACGGCGAAAACACGTCAACAACAGAAATGTGCGTTGACACATATAGGGCAACAGCAATAAATCGCAATGACCATGGACATGCGAGAAGGAGCACACGTTGAATGATCGGCTGCCTCTTAGGGTTTCTCGGGGGCGCGGGGCACTCGCAGGGCTCACTGAAACGATCGGGGCGCAAAACGGATGGCGGCCCTTGGGCCAGGATTTTGACATCTTGGGGGCGGGGGTCGTTGCAAGGTTTGCAATGCACGTGGTATCGGGGCCTTTTGGAGGCATGTAAGAGGCGATGTTATGCCGCACGTTGGAAACCATGTTGTGCCATCAGAGGCCCTCTTGGGCCCGTACCTCCGCATTTTTTCCCTCGACGTGAACGTGTTTGTGAGTTTTATCGCAATCGCAGTTGCCGTTGTCATCGTCATCCATCCTCCGCCTACTCCTCCTCCTCCTCCTCCTCCTCCTCCTCCTCCTCATCTTCCTTTTCCTCCTCCTCCTCATCCTCTTCCCCTCCTCCTCTTCCTCCTCCTCCTCATCTCATTTACTATTTGTGTGTGTTGCGTGTATTGGTTTATTGTAACACGTTGAGGGGCGAGCCTCCTCAACGCTCAACAATAACGAAACTGTTTTCTTTATGTGTTGATGCGTGTTTGTTGGTTTGCTTTTTCTGTGTATGTGCGAGCCTCCTCGCCCGCAAAGGTTTCTCCTCGCTGCGCTCGGCACAAGCATTATCAGCCCGAAGTGAAAGGAACAGGCGGCTCCAACGTAAATAATCCTGCCCTCCGCAGGACAAATGGGAACGCACACAAAAGGGCGGAAACTGGCAGAGCAAGCCTCCTACCTGTCGAAAGCCACAGACCGTTCTCAACGGACCGCCTGTAAAGAGTGATCGCCAATGCGATGGTCAGCGCACCGCTATCGAGATCGGCGCCCTGCACAAACAACTCTACGAGCCCGTGGTGGTTGTGTCCATTGTGAGAGCACTGCACGAAGTCACCAGCTTTTACCGTCCCTATCCGAGTCTGAACCACCGAGCACGTGCAAATGGCGGGCCCAATTCGCGGGGAAATCGTCTGAAATAAATGGCGCAACTGCGGCTGTGGCGTTGCAGCCCCATCAATATACTCAGGCACAAACGTGTTCACGTCTTTCAGGTTCTCTTCAAGCTCGCACAACACAAGATCAATGATGTGGGGGGCCGCTTGCTCGGTCGTGCAACATTGGGCTATAGCTTTACAATCTTTATGTTTTCGCTCACACGCGAAGCACGAAACATTCACACGTAGATGGGGGAGGTTGAGTATAGAATGGTGTACGTAATGGATCTTTGGCTTCACAACACCCAAACCGTAAACCGACACGTACCGCTCATGGTGTTCCACTGCAACATTGGCAAGCAGCCCAGAATACTGAACAGCGCGGTCGCCCATCCCTGGTCAAGCAAGTTTGAATAGTGTTGCAATCTCGCTTTTGGTGTTCTTTTTTTAGAGCTAAACTGGTGAAAGCGGGACGCGGGGCGAAGGGGGAGGGACACAAAGGGGCCCGTGAGGGATGAGAGGGACAGGGCGAGGAAGGATATGGGAAAATGGAGGACGGGCAGATACGACATTGTTGGTCCTTCGTTTGTCGTTGTTTTTGGGTAGTGTGTGTTCGGTCGGAAAGCACAATTGCAACACTGTTCACGTTTATCCCACCCGTGACGTAAGATGCCCAGCATGCGGTGCAATCGAGCGAGGCAGTCTCGGTGTCCTTGAAGATGGCCTTGTGGCTCAAGGACCAGAACAGATAGGAACATCAGAACTTCTACGGCCATGATCGTCTCGGTTGCAAAGCATGCTAGGTGGCCAGCATCGTCCATGTGAATTTGTGTTCTAAAGAACTCTTTGCTAAGACCTCGCCCACGCCCTGGCCACCGTATTGTTTGTTGAAACTCGTTTATTTTTTGCTAAATCCAGGCCCTGTCGTTTAAGCTCGCCGTTCCTTATTACTGCGATGACAAATGCGTTGCGCTCGTATTGGCCGATCCCCCCAGAAGAACAACACCCATGCATCCAATCTTCCGCTATGTGAGAAACCACGTTGAAATGAGGTTTCAGCGTCCTGTCCCATAACAACCCATTGGGTTGATATTTGATACAAGTTAATTGCTCCATGGTTTCAACGTGATATTTCGTAACGCGGCGTCCGTCAGCAGGCTCAGCTACATCACGAAGGAGCTTCAACATTTGATCAACAGTGTCGTCTGTGTGGGGGTCGAAATCAAGCGGCAAAGTGGTCAAGCAATCTCGCCAGTATGGCTCTGTCGGCCCGTAAGATACATTGCGTGTGATATTTTTACATTTTATGCATACCTTTGTTCCACTGGCCCCGCGAAGGGAGCAATACTCTTTATGTGCTTTTTCGTCTTGCATTAGGCATAGGAGCTTTGCGCATAAACGAGAGTGTTGCCCACTTCTGCCAATAGGAAGGACCACACCCGAAGTCAAATCGCAGTCCGACGAAGAACAATTCTTCGTAATCAATTTACCAATCTGGGCGAGACCATCTTTTAGTTCTACCTGTCGGGCAACGGGGATAAACGCATATGTGAACCAGCCACAAGCCCTGCTGCGATACCAATCAGGGAAGAACGAACATGTCCGATATATGCACTGGTACTTGGTCGCGTGGTCGTGCCTGTACGCGTTCCCAGTCGTGCACTCATCCGTGACAAATACAACAGACGAGTCAGAGCTGCGAGCTTGAAACTGCGCGTGCAAGAATGTTGCGAAAGCTGCATTCGTATCGCATAAGTGGTACAGCAAGGCGCACGGGTGCAATACTAAAGCAATGTACTCAGAACCATCGATACATTCTAAAGGTATGTGCGATTTCACTGGCCCGACTGGCGTCCAAATGTCGACTCGCTGACCCAAGTCCCGCCTGACGTCCCACCGTGCAGACTCGACCGATTCGGCAAGCCCATCCCGAACTAGCTGCCTAGCCCGAGCCCTCGAAGAAACGCGTATATCGTGAGAAGCAGGTCGCTTCATACAAAAATGTGCACAACATCGCTCGGGCCTACACTGCAACTGCGTAGGCACGCGCGATGAAACGAACAGAAGATGGGGGGAGAGGACGGGAGGAGAGGATGGGAGTGCAGGAGAGGAGGTGAGGATAGGGTGAGGATAGGAGGAGGAGGATGAGGAGGAGGAGGAGGAGGGGGAGGAAGAGGGGGAGGAGGAGGAGGAGGAGGAGGAGGAGGAGGAGGATGAGGCGGAGGAGGAGGAAGACGAGGCGGAGGAGGAGGAGGAGGAGGGGAGCAATGGGAGCAATGCAGAGAGCGTGCAAGTGAATCACGACCACACCTCGAACTAGGGAAGACGGAAACCGACCACTTTGGGACGAAAGGGGTCGGTTTAGGGGAAGAGGAGGCGGAGGCGGAGGAGGAGGAGGAGGAGGAGAAGGAGGAGGAGGGGGGGAGGAGGGGGTGGAGGAGGGGGGGGGAGGAGGAGGAGGAGGGGGAGGAGTGACGTTGAGGAGTTCCTTGTTTTTCAAGTTGCTGCTGTGTTGGGACATAGGGGATATCCCGACGAGTAGGTGCATTGCCAGTTTGCTAGATTTCTGTTTGGTGTGGTCTGTCTGCTCGGTGCTTCCCGTTGGGCTCTTTTCTTGTGTAATTGTCTGATCTGTCTGTATGCTTTTCTGTTGTGCTAGCCCCGCTCCCCTTTCCTCAGTCCCTCCCTCCCTCCCCGTTCATATGTTTTAAAGCTCTGTGCGGCGCGGCTCACGCGCTCTCACGGCGCGCCGCCTCGGTGGTGCCGTCGACTTCGCCCATGGCGATCTCGTGCTCCCAAGTGTCCCAGTGCGGCGGTTCGGTCCGAGCCTTCTGCATCTCGGTCGGGTTGCCAGCGGCTGCGCCAGACTCGTGCCCAAGACCTGGAGGCGGCCTCAACAGCGTTGCCGACGCCGTGCTCGCCGTTGGCTTCGACCTTCTCCCGCCGTGCTCGGCGTTGGCCTCGACCTTCGTCAGCGCCAGGAAGTAAGCGTACCCCAACCACTCTGGTGGCCCGTGGGTTGTCAAGAGCCGCTTGCCAGGATGTTGCCGACTACGTTCTCGCACTGATGCTTTACATCCCGTGAGGCGCTGTATCTCAGTTTGGTCCTCGGCAGTCACGGTGCCGCCATCTGGGAGCACGAATGGGCCGAGAAGACCAGTGAGATCATCTTGGAACGCTGCCGCCGACAACATGCTTGGGCCGCTCGGCTACGGAAAAAAACAAAGAGGAGGTGAGGGGGCGCTTGGGGGATGCCATCATCGCACTGCATTGCTGTGCCCCCGCATTCCAGGGCGCGCCACGCACGTCCCCAACAGCACCGATCTTGGCCAGGCCAATCTTGGGCCCAAGATAGGAGGAGGGGGAGGAGGAGGAGGAGGAGGAGGAGGGGGAGGAGGAGGAGGAGGAGGAGGGGGAGGATGAGGAGGAGGAGGACGAGGAGGAGGAGGAGGCGGATGAGGAGGAGGAAAAGGAGGGAGGAGGAGGGGGATGGGCGGAGGAGCAGCTCGGACGCGCCCCGCCCTGCCGTCTGGGTAGGTAAATGTATGTGCATGGTAGATACGGGGTAGATACGGGGTAGATACGGGGCAGATACGGGGTAGATACGGGGTAGATACGGGGTAGATACGGGGTAGATACTGTGGTGTGTTTCAGTGCGTTCTTGTAGTGTGGTGTGCGTGTGTGCGTCTGTGTGCGTTGTGCCACTTTACGTTGATTGTGCATGTTGCAGTGCTTTGTTTATTTGTTGTTAGCTTGCGTGGTTTGGTCTGCGCTGCGTTTCCGATAAACCAAGACGGTCCAATCGTGATTCAGATTCGTCGTATCCATTTCCCCCCAAGAAGCCAACTTACTCAAGCTGTTCTTCACGTAACCAGTTGCCGAAACTCTCACCACCTTCTCAAGCTCGACCCTACCGCCAGACTGACCCAAGCATCTCCTATCCCGTCACTCATGACGGGCTATCGCGTAGCAGCGCCTAGGCTGCAGGGAGAGGGCTGCGCGCGCAACTAGCACATGCGATTCCAGACTGCATCTCTCGGCATCCTCTCCCCAGGTCCTGGGCCCGATTTCCAAGTCTGGTGTTCGGGGCAGCGATTTTCACACACTGGTGTTTTGTTTAAGGGACTGTTGTAGACAACTGGGGTCGCACATAGAGCCAACAACAGGAGGCCACATCTCAGTCCTCAGTGGCCTGCTGGAAGAGGAGCTCCACCTGCGAGATTATGGTAGATGCTTTGTTGACCACCTCCGTCACATCGTTGCTCAGCTGGGTGTAGACAAACTTAGGGGCCTGGCCACCCTCGATGGTATCCTTGATGAGCTTGCTCGTCTCCTCGATCTTGCTCAGGCTGTTCGCGAGCTTGGTGACGAAGTGCTTGGGCACGTTCTCTGAGCCCTGCGGGCTCTCGGCCTGCTCTTTCGCCTGAGTGGTTCGCTCTCCGATATCCTGCAGCTTGGCGCGCAGACTCTCGAGCTTCTTCTTTTGGGATGAGGTGATACTCTTGATCTGGTTCGGGTCAGCTGCCGCATCGTCAGGCTTTGCCTTCTTCGCCTTCTTGGACTGCAGCTCGGTCTCCGCCTCGCGCTTGCGCGACTCCTCCACGATCGTCTCCTCCTCGGTCTTCGATTCGTAAGTCGGGCTCTGGATCATGATGCAGTTCCTGATGGGGCACTTGATCCGCTGGGCGTTCTGTTCTATACTCTTCCACATGTCAGGGTGCGAAGCATACCTCTTCTGGGCCTCCTCCAGGGGTTCGAAAGGCCCACCGATACTCATGCTAGAAGTGATCCTCCTCGTCTTCATGACTGTGATCGTGTCCTTGATGAGGGCGCACAAGTCGTTCCCCAATGCTCCGTGGGCCTTGCGCATGAAGTCGTGGCGGTCCGCGGGTTCGGGCGACGTGAGCGAGTCCATGCCCATGCCCTTTTTCATGCGGTTGATCCTGCTGCGCGCGTTGTGGCACCCAGTGCAGCGTAGCTGGTTCTTAGTCTTGTTGACGGCCTTCATGAAGTCGACGTGCCAGAACTGGTTGCAGCTGCAGCACAACTTCGAGGTCTCAGTCTCGTCGGCCGTGGAGGCCGCGTCGCCGAAGCCCGCGGTGGCGTCCTCCTCGTCGCATCCCTCGTTGGGCTTCTCCTGCTCCTCCTTGACGTCCAAAACTGCAACTGCCGCCTCCATGGCGGCGTCGAGGCTGGCCTCCAGCTCCGCTGGAGGGCGGGGGACAGGTTCATCCTCTGCCAGGCGCGCAGGAGCTGCCGCAGGCCTCTTGCTCACCATCGCAACGGTCGATGCCGAAACTGTCGTTGCCGAAACGATCGGGGACGAGCCTCCGACTTGAGCCGAATCGGTTGCTGTATTCGGCGCGAGTCGAGTCAGGGACGGGCTTCCAACTTGAGTTTACGACGTGTATCCTCCTTCTCCTTCTCCTCCTTCTCCCTCTCCTTCTCCTCCTTCTCCTCCTCCTCCTCCTCCGCCTCCGCCTCCTCTTCCCCTAAACCGACCCCTTTCGTCCCAAAGTGGTCGGTTTCCGTTTTCCGTAGTTCGAGGTGTGTTCGTGCTCCCCCCGCCCGAGTCGATGTGATTTCTGAGGGCCCCTGAAATCACGCCGTCCTCCTTCCTCCTCCTCCTCCTCCTCCTCATCATCCTCATCCTCCTCCTCCTCCTGCCCTTCTCCTTCTCCTCCTCCTCCTCCTCCTCTTCCTTCTCCTCCTCCTCCTCCTCCTCCTCCTCCCTGACCGCGCCCGCTAACTTGAAAACGCAATGGAATTGATGAACCTCCATTTTTTCAGTTGCCAAACTCCCCAGGCGCCAATCTTCGGGGAGCGAACTCTGGCGGGGCAAACTCCCTCAGAGACCGCGGGGGGCGACATCTGGCGGGGCAAACTCCCTGAGAGACCGCGGCAAACAACATCTGGCGGGGCAAAATCTTGAGGAGGAGGGGGAGGAGGAGGAGGAGGAGGAGGAGGAAGGGTGCCCCCCCCGCGCGAAGCGCTCACGTCGTAAAACCATATAGAAAATGAACTGCGAGAGAGAAGAAGAAGGATGATGAGGAGGAGGAGGAGGAGGAGGAGGAGAAGGAGGAGGAGGGGTAGGAGGAAGGTCGGATGGGGGGAGGAGCAGGGGGAGGACGAGGGGGAGGACGGGGAGGGGGATGGGGGCAATGTAAGCTGGCCCCCTCCCTTTCAGGCTCAAGGATTTATTTTGACACCGACGCTGCACGACCCCTCCCCGAGGGTCCGTTGGGCTGCACAGTACATGTGCACCTCCCCCTTGAGCTCGGCCGCAGATCTGAAGGGATCGCCGAGAGCTCTCTACAAAATCGTTAACTCGCATATCTAACTACTGCCCATGCCCACTCTGTTTCCTCAGTAGGTTTTGTTACTACCCCTCCCCCCCTGCATCACTCTCTGAGGTCGCCTGCCTCAGCTTGCACGCCTCGCATGCACGGTGGCGAGCCTACCGATCACGCGAAGATGTAGTGGATCGCGCGGCGCCACGACCCCTCGCAGTCCACGCCCCAGCCGAAGGCCTTGTCCGTCCTGACGTTGTTCTCCTTGACGCGCCAAGCCCGCTTGGTGCGGTCAGTGTAGATGGCGTAGTTGCCCGCCCTCACGGGCTCCATTGGGGCCTTTGGGATGCCTGGGAAGGGGAACTGCTTGAGGTGCTTCTGGAGTTGCTTGGTGTCGATGGCCGCCGCCTTCTTGGATTTCGCACTGCTGGCCGCCTTCTTCTTAATTTTTTTCATGGGTGTCGACGTCTCCTTCTTCGGAGCGGGCTTGGCCTGAGCCGCTGCTGGCTTGCGCCGCGCCAACTCGGGGACCTTCTTCTTGACGTGCTTCGCCAGGCCATCGATGATGTCGTCGACGCTCTTGCCCTTCTCGATGGCGCCGCCTGAGCCCGCTGCAGGCGCGGGCTCACACGCCGCCGTAGCTGCTGCGGCGCCTGCAGCCGCAGGCGGTTCCGGACCTGGCGCCGCAAGCACAGGTGCCGCGGGCGCAGGCCCGTCCATCAAGGCAAGCGGCCCTGCACGCGCAAGGGCCTCCTCAGCAGCATGTTTAGCCATCTGCGCAGCGGCGTTGCCCACGGGCAGCCACGCGAAGCCTGGCGCGCCGTGGATCTCTGGCATGCTGCGGGGGCCGCGGCACGACGTCTTGATCGGCGTCGCCACCGTGTGGTGGGTCCTGCGCGCTGGGAGCCGCTGCCTGTCATGGGCGCCACCCCTCCCCAGCTGAAAAAAATAGAAAAAAAGGAACGTCGAACGTGAAAGAAGCTGACAAAAACAAAAACAACACAATGGAAAGTCGAACGTGAAACAAACTACAGACCCTCAATGGCGTCATTTGTTGATTTGCAAAGATTGCTGGGGAGGGGTGCCGCCCCCCGTGCCTCAGCTCGCAGAGCAGCGTCTCGTCGACGCGGCAGGGCGCTGGTCCTTCTGAGGAGTAGGCCCTCTTGTACATGTCCACGTGGCTCGTACTCATCGAGTCCGTGTTCGAAGGGTACTCGGCGATGGCTCCGTGGTGCGGCAACCTGACCCGAGTGCGAGTGCGTCTGAAGGCCAATTTGACGTCCTGCAACATCTGCCAGGCGTTCTGCAGCAAGACCCCAATGTCACGGGCCCCAGGCGGTGACGAAGCCAGAGTGATCAATCCCACGATGTGAGTCATCGTGTGCTCGGACGAGAACACGCAACCGATCGACTCCATACGGTTGACAACCGTTAAAAATTTCAGCTGGACCGAGACGTTCTTATCCATGAGCTTGTTCCAGTCGTCGGTGGTGAGCTGGCGCTGCGCGTAGTAGTTTACCTGGTTGTCTGTCCGACGGCCGCCGCCGCCGAGAGAGCCCCCAACCTTGCTGTTCACAAGGTCGATCAAGCCAGTCTTCATCTCGCCATCCAGATCACTGCTGTTGATTGCTTCGATGATGGGGCCAGCCTCGGAGAAGTCGAGCGAAGGAACAGACGCGAACAGTCGAGTCAACGCACCTTGAGCGGCCGCAGCGACCGCCTCACGCGGGACACCAGCCTCTATATTGGTCCGAACGTACTTCAACGCAGCCTGCGTGCGCACGAAGGTCTGGGAATCATGTGCGATCATGGTTGCCAAGTTCGGCGTTCAGAAAGAGGGCGGCGCCTGCTGCTCATGAAACGGCTGCAGTAAGTGTTGTTATGGATTGGTTGTGTTGTTGTTAGTGTTGGTTATTGGTGTGTTGCTGTCTAAGTAAAACCTATGTAGAACCTAAGTATTGCTATCTCCCGAACAAGTGTCAATGCGTAAAAGCTAAGTGGCGCGCGCTAGTTACTAAGTGCGAATATAGACTTAGACTTAAGTCGTGCAAGTAAACGAGTAAGTATTTACTTTGTATTGTAAGCTGGGTATAAGTTCCCCCCCACATATATGTATTGTTGGCCCCAGATATACCACATATACCATCACATGGGCAACGTATAAGTGCACTCCTATAGCTTATATGTTATGATATATGTAGGACAAGTGCCACGGCCCGCGAAGTGGGCACCCGGGCACCCGGGCACCCGGGCACCCGGGCACCCGGGCACCCGTGCCCGGCCACCGAATCGGCGGCGAACTTGGGCACCCTGGCACCGGGCACCCTGCCACCCTGGCCCGGCCACCGAATCGGCGGCAATTTCCACCTACCCTTAAATCCGCTAGGGCCCCTACAGAGGCAGGCTCTGATTGGGGAAATAACTAGAACGACCACGTGGGGCATTTTGGGTCAGGGGCAACTTGAGCAGCCTCCGACGCAGCCTTGCGCAAGCGGACCGAGCGGGGCGGCCGGCCAAAAGGCCCCCGAGGTGTTACTTTTGCAAGCAGCAGGGTGCCCTGGGCGTCTTGTCAGGAGGCCCTCGCCTCCTCGATCTCAGTCGGGGGGGTAAGGACCATCGAAAAGCATCCCAAATCATCTTGCAAGGCAAATGACGCAAGCCACCGAGAAACGCACGGGGAATGGACGCCTGAGCGATGGCAAGTGGGGGTGGTGAGAGCGGGGGGGTCATCACGGCCGTGGTCATAATATCTCCCCGGGTTTCATGCCCCCCTTCTGAATTTGAATTCACGCTTCGCGTATCCCCACCAGCCCGTCCAGAAATGAGTCCCAGGGGAGTGGAGGTGATGAGGGAAGCGGGGGAGCATGCACAATAACAAAGGGCGGGTAAGCCGCCATATGCCCCAAGAGGGGGAGGATGTAGGAGGAGTCGTCGTCGTCGGAGTAGGAGGAGGAAGAGGAGGAGCAGGAGGAGGAGCAGGAGGAGGAGGGGGAGGAGGAGGAGGAGGTAGATGAGGAGGAGGAGATGGAGGAGGGCGAGGACGTGGAGGACGAGAAGGAGGAGAAGGAGAAGGAGAAGGAGAAGGATGAGGAGGAGGAGGAGGAGGAGGAGGAAGAGGAGGAGGAGGAGGAGGAGGGAGGAGGAAGAAAAAGAGGAGGAGGACGAGGAGGAGGACAATGGCGAGCTTGGGGGCCTCTTGGGCCGTCTTTGGGGCCTCTTGGCGGTCCCGGGGGTCTCTTGCGTATCTCGGGGAGCCTCCTGGGGCCTCTTGGGGGTCTCTTGGGAGCCTCTCGGAGGCCTCTTGGGTGCCTCTTGGGGCCTCTTGGGGCCCTCTTGGGGCGCTCTTTGGGCGCTCTTGGGAGCCTTCGGGGCGCTCTTGGGGCCATGTTGGAGGAGATCTATCAAAGAAGGGGGGGCCGTCAATTAGCCCTGCCCCCCCAGAGTGCCTCGAATCGCCTCTTGGGCCCCGAAAGAAGCCAACATCCTTCCAAAGCCTAGGGAAATCAATGTTTTTTTGCTTTCTCGCCTTTTCGCTCTTGGAGCCGTCTTGGGCCATCTTGGACGCCCCAACGATCCGCGGAACCCTCCGTCCAGGTCCAGGGGAGGGGGTAGGGGGAGGGGTAAACCCCTCCCCAAAGGGGAAGACGGGGGTTGGAAGAGGAAACTTTTCTAGACCACCGACGCCCAGAGGGCTGGTGGGATTTCCGTTCGTCAGTGCCGCGCACGTGTTTGGGGCAATGATTTGTGACCCCCCCCCCTCCTCAGTGGACACCCGCCCGAATCATCCCCCTCTTCCTGCTCGAGGTGGAGGTGGCATGTCGATGACGGAGGAAAAAACCCTTGTCCTGGAAACACTACCATGTCTCGCCGCGCGTTTCAGCACTCGTGCACGCAACTGGGGGCCCGTGTCGGGGCCGCCACGCGTTTGGGGTCACTGCCTCTGCTAGCCTGCCCAGTGGCATTGGCGTTTTGAAGATTCGTCTTCTGAAAAAACCCAAGGCCCAGGACGCTGAAGTGAGGCTCTCAAGGCCAACACCCGGGGCTGCCGCTCCTCAGACCAAGACCAAGACCAAAGGCTGCCGCTTCTCAAACCCTGGTCAGGGGGCATATCCGTTGCCGAGGCTCGCCGTGGCCAAGAAAGTCCCTTCGGTCCGTACTCAGCCTTCCTTCTCGTAGCACGATCATTATGTCTTCCACCCTCTTCAACCTCCCTTTCTGGCCAAGCCGTGGCAGCGAGCGCTCGAGGCGTCACTTTGCGGGCCTCACGGCCGTCAAGGCCTCACATCCTTCAGCATTGGCACCCGTTTCCATACCTTACCATTCGCATGATCTTCGTTCCTGTTCCCCCGCTTGCTCGGGAGCCTGTTCGCGGTAGGCAGTCGCGCCGGTTCTTCAACCTCCTCTCCTCCTCTCCCTCCTGCCGCACCCTCGGTGACGCCAGCTGTCTACACCTGCAGCGATCCTGGCCCAGGCAATCCCAGGCCCAGGACCAGTGCACCTGGGCACGTCGGCAGGGCGAGTGCGCCGACCAGGACCGGCCAGGGCCGCTGCTGGCTGGTGGTGCACAGCCTTCCTGCCCTCGGCACGAGCGAACTGGGTGATTCCGGAAAGGATGGGCACGAGGCCCAGCAGCAGTCCCTGCTCGTTTTGACCAGGACTCGCGGTCTGCACCGCCGCGGGCGTGTTCCATTTGAGACGGGCGGCCGCCTCCCCCGCAGCGGTTGCTGTCGGTTTTGGAGAGCACTGGCTGTTGGGAAGAGCCAGGAGCGGGCGGGCGCGCGGCCAGCCACAGACCCCGGCGCGGCGGCCGCTGCCGGGGCTGACGCGGAGGATCCCGAGCACCCGGCCGCCTCCCCGGGGCCGCGGCGCGCCGCGCTTCCAGCGCGACCTCACCAGAGCGGCGGACCGCACAGTTGCCATTGGACTCCTCTCCCGAGCGCGAGCAAGCAGGAACACCGACGCAGCGCACCGCCTCCACGAACCCCGCCACCCGAGCCAATGCCACGATTGGATGTGGCATTTCCGCACAAGGGACGGGTAATGACCAGCGACGAGCTCGCTGTCGCCATCCGCATCCACCTCGGCACGGGGGGGCCCGACGAGGTGTTGGTGTGCGCCAAATGCGGTGAGTGCATCATTGGCCCGTGCGGCAGCCACGGGCTCCTATGCGCAACAGTCCCCGGCATTTTCAGAGATAGTGCAGGCCGTGACATTTTGTATGTGTTCGCCACCGTTGTTGATGGTAGCGCAGAGCTTGAGCCAGTAGTCATGGTGTGCTCACGCCCACTGCTCCGCCCTGTGGACGCTTTGACTGGCGTCCCGGATCCGTCCGGGCGCCCGGCGGCACTGAATGTGGGAATGCTCGCGCTTGTGCCGGCGGGGGCAGGGGACGATTGCGTGGAAGCGATGGTGTGCCGGAAGCAGCGCCGAGCCGACGGTCTCCAGAGCGAGCTCGAGGACGACGGCGTTGAGTGCCGGGTCTTGGCTGTGAGCGATTTTGGGCGCTTCCACGACGAGTTCCTGAGGGCGCTGCAGCCGATCGCCTGGGCGCACGCGCGCGGCGGCGGGGCACGGAGGTTGCGCCGCGCGCAGACTTGGATCGCCGTCAGCATCTGGCGCCGCGCAGCCCGCATGGTGCGCGCGTGCACGCCGCTTGCCGTGGACGGTGGCGACGCCGTCGACGAACCCGCGGACGCGGCCGTGGCCAAAAGGCGCGGGCACTCTGGCGCTGTCCCAGGGGACGGTTCCGTGGCCTCGGCGGCGGCCCTTGCGGCGGCCCCAGCGGCGGCGGCGGCGGGGGCGGCAGCGGCGGTCCCCCGGTTGACGCAACGACGCGACTACCGCCACTCCCCAGCTCCCGCTCGCCTCCTCTAGCTTTCCCTCCTTCCCCTTTCTTGTTCTCCCTAGCGACGGCGGGCCTAGCCCGCCCACGCGCCTGTGCAAATTGCGTCCGCCGCGGCTGTAACTAGTCGGGCGCAATGCCTTCCCTCCTCCTACGCCCCTTCTTCGCTGCGCCAGGGCCAGAGGCCATTGCGGGTTTTGCCGCCCTTGCGTCGGTCGCGCGTCTAGGACAGCAAATGATGCAGGTGTGCCTTCTCCTTCGTCGTCGTCTTCCTCCTCCCCCACCCCCACCTCCTCTTCCTCGCTTGTCGGAATCGGTGCTCGCGTGCGTGGCGGCAGTCGCGTTTCGCGCGCTCGTCCGGGCAATAATTGTGACGGGTGGCCATGTGCAGCTGCATTTTGATCACGGGGGGGCGGGATTTGTCCGTTCGTGTTGTCGCCAGCAGCGCGCTGTAACAGTGAAGTGTTGCGCCTTCTCTCCGCTATTCTACCGCCTCCTTCCCCTCCCTTTGTCTGTGGTGGCGTCTACCGGCCGGCCACTACAGAGAGCTGTTGCTGCGTGTGGGGCGGTGGTGGCCCCCACGAGGGGCAGCGCACTGTTCGCCCATATGTTGTCACATGTCGTGCCGCAACTGCGCGTGATTTTATGTTTCATATATATATATATACATATATATCAATCATTGGTTGCGCTGAAGGGGCCTCGCAGAAATCGAAAGATTTCGCGAAAGTGTCCCGCCGATTTTGGTCGCAGTCTGGGTTCCCGGGTTCCCGGTTTCGGGTTCCGGGCTGATTTCGGAGGGCGGCGAGGTTCCAGGGTCCGGGTTTTTTGGTCGATTCGCCATCGATCTCATTACCCACTTGTCTTTCGATATCATCATCGATATCACAATCGATCTCCCTATCGATTCCACAAGCGATCGCACTAGAGGTCGCATGAACGATCTCGCGATCGATCTCACGATCGGCCTCGTAGAATCGATTTAATTTCCGGTCTCAGGATCGACCTTGCAATTGTCTTCACCATCGATTCCACGATCGATCTCACTATCGATCTCACAGTAGATTTTAAGATCCATCGTATTCATGTTCAAATCATTCACTGATTGGGTTTTATCATGTGTAATTAGTTGATTAGGCCATAGGGATACCCACGCAGCGCCGTGGTCTTTTTCAACTCTGCAGGTGATCGTTGGTCGGGCTCCGTGCCCACTTCGGCCGTCCAAACGCCCTGCCCTTCCTGCTCCGAGGAGGGCGAGCTGAGACCAGGGTGGCTGGTTTTTGCGGGGGGGGGCCCGTCACAACGGCCGAGTGCAGCTTCGGGCACTGGTGCGCTCGGGCCCCGGGGGGGGGGTCCGGGGATGGAGCTTGAGCCGCCCATGCTGCAATTTGCCCTATTCGGAGCTGGTTCGCCTGCCTTTGCGGCGCCTGCCATTCCTGCTCTCTTCGGCTACCACAGAGGGTGTGATGAGGGTGTGGTTTGCGATCGGCGCTGTTGGGGCTTCAGTGTCACCATGAGCCCTCGTCGGAAGGGCGAAAGGAATTTCTGTCGCGGGTGGCAAACCACACCCTTTGAAAACCGCACCCTGGGGAGTCGCCGATCCTTGCTCGCAGCAGCGGCACCCAGGAGGGATCTACACCATCTCCGCCATGTACCGGCGCCTCAGGGCCACCACGCAGAGCACGGCGGCGGTGGAAAGGATTTGTTGTCGGGCACGTGGCGCAGGGAGAGTAATCGCATGACGAGGTGTAGAGAGGGGGAGCTCCCAAGGGTGCCCGCATTTCGGCTGGTTCCGCTGCGTCGTAGTTGTTTGCGTTCGAGTCGGTTCGGTTGGGTCGGCTGTTGTGTCGTTGCCGCCCTGCGCCCTTCTACAGATTCGAGGCTATAGACTCGAGGCTGCTTTTGGCCTGTCGATGTCGGTTTCGATTTCGCTCTCGCTGTCGGTTCGGTCGGTTTTCGATTTTCTAGTCGCTGAGGACGGCCTTTGCTCCGACTGTTCTGCCTTTTGCGGCCTTTGTGGGTGCCATCGTCGCCACAGTTGGACTTGCCTCGAAATCCTGGTCAGATCGCGCTCCAGGATCGGCTTTGGGGCCAACTTCAAGGTGGGTGGAAAAGCAGAAGGGTCGCAGATGTTTTTGTCCACCGTTGCCTGGGCCAACCAGGCCCGCCTGCAAATGAGGTGCGAGATTCCTGGGCGCCTTGTGGGGGCCTCGTGGGGGCACTTACGGCAGGTTTGCGTCGTGTCGACGCTGCGGCGACCAAGTCTCGGGGTCTCAAGGTTGAACGCCACCAGACCAGTGGCCCAGAGTCAGCCAATTTGGAACGATCTGGCGATCGAGAGCCGCCCATCGTTCAAGGGTTGAACGATCCACGCGGTGTCAGACACCATCGACAGTGTCGTCACGAAGCGAACTTGCCGCACGTGGGCGTTTGTGCATTCGCCTCGTTGGGGCTCGACGGGCGCGAATGTGCGCCCCACTGGGGCCTCCAGTCGCAGGCGACTCGTTGACCCCAATCCTTGAAGCCGGGCCGAAAACTTTGGCCGCTCAGAAAGGGGGGGGACCTTTCTGAGGATGGACGCCCCTCTTCGTTCTTCGCCCCTTGACAACCTCACAGAGTCGGGGGACTGTGCCCCTCTGCTTAGGAGTGCTCTGAGTCTGAGGCCCCCTGTGAGCTCCCGGGGATTGGGCCCTTCTTTCCCTCGGAGGACGCGCAACGGTCCGGGTCCGAAATCCAGCTTGATCCAGCTTGATCCCGCTTATTCCGGCTCAATCCCGCTGAATCCCGCTTCATCGGGCTTAATCCTGCTTAGACCGAGGCCCACTCCGGCGCAGCAGCTCCCAAATGGGGCTCAACCCTCTTTCATCTCTGCGATGAAAACCTCCCAGTAGTTGCCTCCTGACCATGTGTCGCCCCCCCTGAAATTAGCGGCCGAGTGCCTCGAGGGCGACGTGGCTCGCCTCTGTTCGGGCCGGCCCCTCGCCCGAGGAACGGGGCCCCGGGTTTGCCACGGCACGGGGGGGGGGGGGGGCAGGGGAAGCCCCGGTGACGGACGGTCACTCGGTACCGTGTAACGGATCCCCATCCACATCCCCATCCCCTTTCGAGACCCCCACCAAATTACCGCCCCAGTTGGGGACACACCCCTCGAAACCCGAAGGGGACGGCCTATGTCCCCATCTAGGCCTAAGGGGCCCAGGCCACGCCGCTGGGGATGGGGGCCGGATAAACGATGCTCAGTCACCTGGGCTTGCTCTGCCCCCGCCCCTTGCGCAGCGCCCGAACAAGCTGGGGTCACCCGGTGGCCCCAGCTTGTTCAGGCGCTGCACAGAGGGGAGGCCATGAAATTCGGCGGCGAGCGAGGGGGGCAGGTGAGAAGGAGAAGGCCTTCTCAGAAGGCGGCGGGACTTCTCAGAAACGCTCCCGCCGTATGAGATGCTTTCTGTGCCTTCGGGGGAGGCTTAGACAACTTTTCAGAAGGCTGGGGGAATTCGAGCTTTCTGAAAAGGCCTTCTCCTCCTCACTTCTCCCCAGGGCTCGCCGCCGAAAAATGGAGGGGGGGGAAGAAAAGGTGCACCTTTTGGTGCAATGATGGGGCCCTCTGGGGCCCAAAAGGGGCACGAAATGTGCACGCTTCTCCCCTCCATGAAGCCACGCCCAACTTGTCCAGAGAGGCCCAGATGCCGAGGAACAGCAAGTTGTATACAGTCAACCATGATACTACGGATGGGGCAACTTTCCAAGGCTACCCCTGCATCCTTGCCCTTTTGGTACTCGGTATCCTTCGGCATTCTGCTGAGCTCCGCACGGGATTCAACATGGCGTTCCAAGGCCCTTGCATCCTCACCGCACATCCTTACTATCCTGGTCGAGTGTAAACATACACTTTCGGGGGTCCGAGCGGCTTTCCCAGATCGGCGCTGGAGCCACCCCTGGCGCCGCCCCTTGCGCGTGGCGCGCGCCAAAATTGGAGGCGCAGCGCCGATCCGAGAAGTCGGCGCAGGCCTCGGAAAGCTCGTGCTTGTGCCGTTACTTGTTGCCAGAAGATGGCATCCAGGGCACCCCCCACGGAGTCCAGCGGTCCCCATGGGTTGCAGAGTGGAGCGAAAAGTGTGGGGGGGGCCTTTGGCCAGGGCCACCTCTGGCGATAGCCGAGCGGGAGACGGGGGGGAGAGCCTCTGCAGGAGGTGCCGCGAAATGAAAGGCCTCTCGCACATCCCAGGGGCCATGTCGATCTGATCGGTCCGATTCGATGCCGGTTTCGGCCAGTTCGATCTGATTCGATTCCGATATCTCGATGGTCCGATGCGGCCCGATGTTTGCATGGCGTTGTTGTGCACCTGGGCGCGGCCCATCCGATTCGGTTTCGATTCCGTGCCGATGCAGCCCGATTCGATGCACACATCGATTCGACCCGATTTCCAGGTTCGGTATCGTCTGATTTTGCTTAGGCGTTGCGCAATGTGGGGGCGATCAATGGGGGGGCTGCGAGGGCTGCATAAAAGAGGCCCTGCAGGGCCTCTGAAGGGCCCCCAAAGGGGCCCTTTAGGACACTGTAGGCCCCCTAAAGGGTCGGGGGTGGACAAACCTCCTACCCTGACACGTCGATCAGCGCATTGGCCGTTTTCGGTTCGCGAGAGGGCGTCGCGGCCGTCAGTTTTGCGGGTCCAGGTCCGTCGGTTTCGGTCCCAGGCCGTTCTCTCTCAAGGGAGCTGTATTCAAAGTAGGTCTGTCCACCGCCGAGAGGGGCCCTCCAGAGCCCCAGAGCGGGCCCCCACGGGGCGAAGAGTGCACCTCCCTTCCCCCCCTTCAGGGCCCCAGGAGGGCCCCTTCCCCCAGAAGGGGTCCCAGAAGGGGGGCCTCCTACGGGCCGAGGGGTGCACCTTCCTCTCCCTCCCCCCCTCCCCCGATCCTCGCCCCCTGCCACTTCGCTCTCAACGCGCGTGGCATGGCCTCCAGGCCCCCAGGCGCTGCGGCGACCACGCCGTGTGGGGTGCGCTGGGGGGCGTTCGGGATGGCCGTGCGGTGTGTAGCCGAGGGTCGCTCTCCGAGGACGCTTCGGGCGGCGGGGGCCTCCGAGGTCCCAGAGCCGCGCGGCGACGGACCGTGCGGTGGGGCCCCTGGGATCTCGAGGTCGCCGCACGGTCTGTCGTTGCACTGTGTTGAGGCCCCTTGACTTGCCACGGTCTGGTCGGCCCTTGCTGCGTGGTCTGGTTTCGTACGGTTCGGTTTGGCCCCATGAAACCGAGTCTAGAGAGGAAGTGCGAGAGGAAGAGGAGCGGGACGGACAAAACACCGACGGACGTGGTGAGGTCCCCACCAGCCTTTCGGGGCCATCCTCTGCGTAGTCAGGGGCATGATTGCAATCTTGAGGGCTTTTAGGGGATGTGAATTCCTTTTGGGGTACTCAGGAACGTGTCGGAACCGCCTCATCGGAGTCTTTCTCGAGCTTCTTGTCGACCTCCTAGCTAAGGTCTCTCAGGCCGTATTGGGAGCCTCGTGAAGCTTGTCAGGATTTCTGGGGAAGCTCTTGAGTATTTCTTGGGAGCCTCTTGGGCCATTCTGGGGGCTTCTTGTGAGCATGGCGGAAGCAGCTGGTCCCAGGGGGCCCCCCTTGGCGGCCCAGACGGGCCCCAAGCACAGGTGAGCGCAGAGCGCACAGTTGGAAGCCGCATCTCCCCAGAGCGGCTTGGAGGCCCGATCTCGGCCTGCCACGGCTCCGGTGAGTCGAAGCCTTTACAGGGCTGCAGGGACGGGAGAGCGGAACACTGGGCCCAACTCGAGGCCGCAGCACGCACAGGGAGCCGGTGAGATTGAGCCTCCCCCGTGCCACGACCCCGTCTCCCTTCCGTTCCCGTTGCCACTCCTGCACCGCATACAATCAAGACGCTGAAACAAGGAGCACATTGAGTACGAGGGGGGTTCGGTGCTCCTCAGGTAATTCTGTGGTTGTTCCTCTAGCCCTCCTCGTGCTGCGCAGGCGCTTCTGGGGCCGAGAAAGGGGCTCCGTTCCTTCTCTGCCCTTCCTCACTCCAGCGGCCCGACTGTCGTGCATTGGAGAGCGGACTTTGGGCTGGGGCCAGGCCCGGCACTCCTGCAGGGACCGGTCTCCGCCCGGCCTGCTCTGGATTCCCGCGTGGTGGGGTTGGGGATCGTGGGTGTCGAAGGATGTGTGCTTGCTGCGCAGTGCAGTGTCAGGATGCCGCTTCGCCCCTGGTGCACTCCTGCATTCAGGAGTCTGACGGACAAGCGGCTCCACCGGGAAGAGGGTATGGAGCCCATTTTGCTTGGCGCGAGTCGACTTGGGGAATCTGTTGGGGAAGAAGATTTGTACGACGTGACCTTGAAAGGGGACACTGAAGTCCCATGTGGGAAAGGCGAGGGTAACCATCTTCCTTTGCCTTGCTGGTGCACCGATTCTTTTCTCGGAGGAGGAGGAGGAGTGGGGAGGAGAGAGGAAAGACGAGGGTGAGTGGCCAGCGTCCACAGAAAACTATTGTTTCGACGAGACAGCGGGAGATTGGTGACTTCGGAGATTGCTGACTTCGGAGAGGAGGAATGGCGGAATGTCTTGGATACTCGCCCCTACGTTACCTGCATAGCCAGGAGTCGCAATGAAAGAGTTGCACGGTTCCCAGCGCGAGTAGGTAGGCGATCTACAATTATGAGCCAATTGCGGCTCGGTTCAGTTAATCATCGGACTGATTAGCGAGTTGGTATGCGAGACGGAGAAATGGAGGGATGTGGGCAGTTGAGAGTTTGGTTGCTTCTTATTTTGGCCCTGTGTCTCGGAGTCTCATTCTCCTGGTTGTCCTCGCCCTGCTCCTCATCGTCCTTTCTTGTCATCCCTCTCCCCTTCCTCGTCCTCCTCTGCCTCCCTACTGAGGCTGCGGGCCGAAGTCTGATCTGTCGCCGTTCGAGCCGCCTTGGTTTGCTGCCATCGCTCTAGTCGTTGCATTCGCCCGTCGTCCCCGAGCCTGCTGTGCTCTGGCCCCATACCTGCCTGACTGAAGGCAACTCGCCGTGCATCATTGACTGCCAGTGCTGCTCAAATCGCTGCGCCTTGACGAAGACATGTGCACCAGTTCCAAACTTTACGCTGCGGGGCGAGCCAGGACCGCGCGTTGCGCATACTGCTGTCACTGATCCGTGGGACTTGCATTGCTGCCCGCCCACCGCATGGATGCCCAGGCCAGAAGAGTGTGAGCGAAGGTTGACGCGAAGCGGGGACCAGGATGCACCTGTGGCCTGGGTCGCCAGTCATGCGGCATCAGCCCCGTGCAAGTCTGGGAGCCGGCCGTGACCGCCGTCTTCTTTCCTGTTGTGTCCATCCCCCCCCCCATCCCTGGTTTGTTCAGGAAGCCCTTGTTTCTGTTCATGCTTTAGTTGCGTCGCGCGTTGATAAAGAATTTTCACGAGCACGGGCCGTCGCATCGTTACCGAAGAAGTTCTTGACGCTTCGTGTATCCCCACCAGCTTCACTTCGGTGTGGCTGGCGCCTAGGTGCGTTCGCTTTAATGCGGAGCATTTTGCTCAGTGCGTGTGTACACCTCGCATTCCAGGCGCGTTGCCTGTTGTAGCTAGTTGGCCTCGCCTGCTGGCCCAGACGACGCCTTCCGCTCCCTGACCGTAGCCTCGGAACCGCCGACCAAAACAAATTACCCTGTGACGTACCCAACCCATTGGTATCATGGGAAACGAGGAGTTGGCCGAAACGTGCATGGACAATCACATTGCAGGATCCGTTGCTTGATATGTAAGCTACTTGGGACACGCGCCTACGGCATGATGCGCAGGAAAACCATACAAGAACGAGGGGCGACAACTACAGGCTCGAAGAGGACATGGGGAGTCGGGAGCGAAGAGCAGGAGAAAGACGTGCGGGGCGCCCACTGTGCTGTGCCCCTCAGCAGCCCTCGAAAGTTGCGACAGTTTCACAGATCGCAGCCCCCCAAGGCTGGCGAGGTCTAGTTTGCGTTTGCGGTGAGTACCCACTGTGCTGTGCCCCTTCAGCAGCCCTCGAAAGTGGCGACCGTTTCACAGGTCGCAGCCCCCCAGGGATGGCAAGGTCTAGTCTGAGTCTGCGGTGAGTACCCACTGTGCTGGGCCCCTCAGCAGTCTTCGAAAAAGGCGACAGTTTCACACATCGCAGCCCCCCAAGGATGGCGAGGTCTAATCTGAGTCTGCGGTGAGTACCCACTGTGCTGTGCCCCCCAGCACCCCTTCGAAAGTGGCGACAGTTTCACGGATCGCAGCCCCCCAGAGATGGCAAGGTCTAGTCCGAGTCTGCGGTGAATACCCACTGTGCTGTGCCGCCCTTCAGCAGCCCTCAGAAGTGGCGACAGTTTCACAGATCGCAGTCCCCCAGGGATGGCGAGGACTAATCTGACTCTGCGGTGCGTACCCACTGTGCTGTGCCCCTCAGCAGCCCTCGAAAGTGGCGACAGTTTCGCAGATCGCAGCCCCCCAGGGATGGCGACTTCTAATCTGAGTCTGCGGTGAGTACCCACTGTGCTGTGCCCCATCAGCTGCCCTCGAAAGTGGCGACAGCCTCGCAGATCGCAGCCCCCCAGGGACGGCGAGGTCCCGCTCAGGTCCGCGCGGTGCCTCACTCTGCAGGACCCACCAGCAGCCCCCGAAAGTGGCGACACTCTCGCAGATCGCAGCCCCCCAGGGACGGCGAGGTCCCCCTCAGGTCCGCGCCGTGCTTCGCCCTGCAGGACCCACTAGCAGTTTTCGAAAGTGGCGACAGTTTCGCAGATCGCAGCCCCCAGGGGCGGCGAGGTCCCGCTCAGGTCCGCGCGGTGCCTCACCCCGCAGGAATCACCAGCAGCCCTCGAACATGGCGACAGTCTCGCAGATCGCACCCCCCCAGGGAAGGCGAGGCCCCGCTCGGGTCCGCGCGGCGCCCCACTCCGCAGGACCCACCAGCAGCTCCCGAAAGTGACGACAATTTCGCAGATCGCAGCCCCCCAGGGACGACGAGGTCTCGTTTGGGTCCGCGGTGGGTACCCTCTCTGCTGGCCTCCCCAGCAGCCTTCGAAAGTGGCGACAGTTTCGCAGATCGCAGCCCCTCAGGGACGACAGGTCCCGTTTGGGTCCGCGGTGGTTACCCTCTCTGCTGGCCTCCCCAGCAGCCGTCGAAAGTGGCGACAATTTCGCAGATCGCAGCCCCCTAGGGACGGCGAGGTCCCGTTTGGGTCCGCGGTGAGTACCCTCTCCGTTGGCCTCCCCAGCAGCCCATCGAAAATGGCGACAGTTTCGCAGATCGCAACCCTCCAGGGATGGCGAGGTCAAAGGCAGGGGGGAAGAGAGGGACTGGAAGGAAGGAAGGAATATTCGCGCGAGCAGTGCTTTATTCAAAACGAAAACCCAACGCATGAGGGTTGGGAAATATCCCCACAAGCGTGCACGTGCATGTCTTGCGTGTGCGAACTTGCCCGCCGACGCTGGCGGCTCTGCTCGCACATTCGCTTCGCTCCGCCACCCGGGCGCCTCTTTCGTTCCTACACCGTCGCCTGGGAACCGCCGACCAAACATTACCCTGTGACGTACCCAGCCCACTTGTATCATGGGAAACGAGGAGTTGGCCGAACATTGCATGGACAATCACATTGCAGGATCCGTTGCTTGATATGTAAGCTACTTGGGACACGCGCCTATGGCATGATGCGCAGGAGAACCATACAAAAACGAGGAGCGACAACTACAGGCTCGAAGAGGACATGGGGAGTCGGGAACGAAGAGCAGGAGGAAAACGTGCGGGGCGCCCACTGTGCTGTGCCCCTCAGCAGCCCTCGAAAGTGGCGACAGTTTCACAGATCGCAGCCCCCCAGGGATGGCGAGGTCTAATCTGAGTCTGCGGTGAGTACCCACTGCGCTGTGCCCCTCAGCAGCCCTCGAAAGTGGCGACAGTTTCGCGGATCGCAGCCCCCCAGGGATGGCAACGTCTAGTCTGAGTCTGCGGTGCGTACCCACTGTGCTGTGCCCCTCAGCAGCCCTCGAAAATGGCGACAGTTTCACATATCGCAGTCTAATATGAGCCTGCGGTGAGTACCCACTGCGCTGGGCCCCTCAGCGACCTTCGAAAGTGGCGACAGTTTCACAGATCGCAGCCCCCCAGGGATGGCAAGGTCTAGTCTGAGTCTGTGGTGAGTGCCCAATGTGCTGTGCCCCTCAGCAGCCTTCGATCGTGGCGACAGTTTCAGAGATCGCAGCCCCCCAGGGACGGCGAGGTGTAATCCGAGTCTGCGGTGAGTACCCAGTGCGCTGGGCCCCTCAGCAGCCCTCGAAAGCGGCGACAGTTTCACAAACCGCAGCCCCCAGGGATGGCGAGGTCTAATCTGAGTCTGCGGTGACTACCCACGGTGCTATGCCCCTTAGCAGCCCTCGAAAGTGGCGACTCTCACAGACCGCAGCCCCCCAAGGACGGCGAGGTCCCGCTCATGTCCGCGCGGTGCCTCGCTCTGCAGGACCCGGCGACAGTTTCGCAAACCGCAGCCCCCCAGGGACGGCGAGGTCCCGCTCAGGTCCGCGCCGTGCTTCGCCCTGCAGGACCCACCAGCAGCCCTCGAAAGTGGCGACAAATTCGCAGATCGCAGCCCCCCAGGGGCGGCGAGGTCCCCCTCAGGTCCGCGCGGTGCCTCACCCCGCAGGACCCATCAGCAGCCTTCGAAAGTGGCGGCAGTTTCTCAGATCGCACCTCCCCAGGAGCGGCGAGGTCCCGCTCAGGTCCGCGCGGCGCCTCACTCCGCAGGACCCACCAGCAACTCCCGAAAGTGGCGACACTTTCGCAGATCGCAGCCCCCCAGGGACGGCGAGATCTCGTTTGGGTGGGTCCGCGGTGGGTGCCCTCTCTGCTGGCCTCCCCAGCAGCCGTCGAAAGTGGCGACAGTTTCGCAGATCGCAGCCCCCCACGGACGGCGAGGTCCCGTTTGGGTCCGCGGTGAGTGCCCTCCCTGCTGGCCTCCCCAGCAGCCTTCGAAAGTGGCGACAGTTTCGCAGATCACAGCCCCCCAGGGACAGCGAGGTCTCGTTTGGGTGGGTCCGCGGTGGGTGCCCTCTGTGCTGGCTTCCCCAGTAACCCTCGAATGTGGCGACAATTTCGCAGATCGCAGCCCCCCACGGACGGCGAGGTCCCGTTTGGGTCCGCGGTGAGTGCCCTCTCCGCTGGCCTCCCCAGCAGCCCTCGAAAGTGGCTGCAATTTCGCAGACCGCAGTCCCCCAGGGGCGGCGAGGTCCCGTTTGGGTCCGCGGTGAGTCCCCTCCCTGCTGGCCTCCCCAGCAGCCCTCGAAAGTGGCGACAGTTTCGCAAATCGCAGCCCCCCACGGACGGCGAGGTCCCGTTTAGGTCCGCGGTGAGTACCCTGTCTGTTGGCCTCCCCAGCAGCCGTCGAAAGTGGCGACCGTTTCGCAGATCGCAGCTCCCGCGGGACGGCGAGGTCCCGTTTGGGTCCGCGGTGAGTGCCCTCTCCGTTGGCCTCCCCAGCAGCCTTCGAAAGTGGCGACAGTTTCGCAAATCGCAGCCCCCCAGGGACGGCGAGGTCCCGTTTGGGTCCGCGGTGACTACCCTCTCCGCTGGTTTCCCCAGCGGCCGTCGAAAGTGGCGACAGTTTCGCAGATCACAGCCCCCCAGTGATGGCGAGGTCAAAGGCAGGGGGGAAGAGAGGGACGGGAAGGAAGGGAGGAAGATTCGCGCGAGCAGTGCTCTATTCAAAACGAGAACCCAACGCAGGAGGGTTGGGACAAATATCCCCACCCACCCTCCGCAGCAGTTTCAGCCCTGCGGGCCCACCTTCAGCTTCCCCAGTTGCGTTGCACCACGGCTCACGAGTGCTCAGCCTGTCTGGCTAGCTCAGGTCGTCAGGGCGTTCGGAGCCTGGCGCCCCATCGGCGACTCACTCCAATGGCCTTTTTCTTTGAAAGGCCTGACGGCCACTGCCGCCGACCCTGATCGAAAGGGCTAGGAGTGGGGGGAGAAAATGGAGGAGGAAGAGGAGGAGGAGGAGGAGGAGGAGGAGAAGGAGGAGAAGGAGGAGGAACAGGAGGAGGAGGAGGATGAGGAGGAGGAGGAGGAGGAGGAGGGGAAGGAAGAGGAAAAGGCGGAGGAGGAGGA